TATATATTTAGCCACTAATTGAATCTTTTTTTAACAATGAAGGTAATCTTTAGGGATGGGGGAAAACGGTTATGCTGGGAGTTGACCAACCGGAGGCAATGTTGACTTTAAGTTCTTTTGAGGTACTTCACAGTGGAAAATCAATCATGGGTTCTCTTTTTGGAGGTCTAAAACCAAAATCTGATATCCCTGTTCTCATAAAACGCTGCATGGATAAGGTAAGCAGAATCCTTCTCTTTCATATTTTGAATGTTTAATATTTTTATTTTATAAGAAACTAATGAATTCTTGATCTTTTTAGGAACTACAATTAGATGCATTTGTGACACATGAGGTTGAGTTTGAGGACATCAACAAGGCTTTTGACTTGCTTCTTCAAGGGAAGAGCTTAAGGTGTGTGATGTGGATGAAGAAATGATCAAAGTTTGTTGCTGCAAAGAACCCTTTCTTTCATGAATTGGTGACTTTATTTGACTTTATTTGACTCTTAAACATTTTTAAATAATAATAATCGGTCTACATGAGTCTTTAAATATATATTGGATGTGAGTGCCTGATTTAGATTCACATGACCTTTGGAATAAAATTGTTGGAACTTTGTTTCAATCTTTGAGACTTGTCCCACATAAAATAAAACTTGTAGAAAAGTTTTATAAGCTTTTGTCCTTCTCACTAGATGCAGTCTTTGTGTGCGTCTTTTTCGGTTTCAAGTTTTTCAATTAACAAATGTATGGTTAACACAAAAATGATAAATTAAGATTTTATAAAAATGATATGCCAAAGTTTAATAATCGAAAGAGAAGAAATTAGGTAATGTGTGATTAAAAAATGTGTAATTAACACAAAATTATATGTATATAAACTTTCGCTTCCTGTCTTTTGGAGACCGGTCTCGGACCAATCTCGGGTCGGCCTTGGATCGGTGTTTTTTGGGACTGGTCCTTTCTTTTTTCAGACTGGCCATTGACGGTCTTGGGTTGGTTCGTCGTGTTTTAGATTGATTCGGTCTTGATCTTTTTTTTCAAAACCGGTCTTTTTCTTTGTGTCTACATCTCACTATATTACAATGTATGAAGTAGGACACAAAAATATTTGGTCTTAGATCGTAGTGTTGGGCTAGCCAATTTAAGCTTGGATTACGCTTGGATTAAATATAATTAATAGTAAAAAATATTAACTAATTGATTTGTCTTTAATCTATCAAATCCGAAATATTTTTTTAAAAATTATTAAAAATATGTTAATATTGTTATTAATTGTCTTGGCCGTTAATTTCGGTTATTGATATTTTTTGTTAGTTGATAGTTAATAATTGCAACATGACAACTTACAAAAAGTTGATTCACTGACAGATTTTACGCTTGATTACAAGTTATAATACATCTTTTTCTTTATGTTTAAATAATGATAAAACTTGACATGACATGTTACCAAAATATTTTTTTAGATAAAATGAATAAATGTGAGGTTTGTTATACTTTGCCATTTTCACAAATATGGTTTTAGTAAGGTATCTATCTCCTCTAATAAACAAAACCTATAATTGGCCACATGTCCCCTTTCTACATTGCAAATCTGCCACGTGTCATCTATTCATTTAATCCTATTTTGTAATTCTAAAATCTAAAATTTTATAAAACAAAATAAATCTAAAAAATTCGCATAAATTGCATACCTGTAGAAAAAATCCCAATTTTTTTTCATCTTTATCATTTTCGGATCATATACCATTCAAATTTCAAATTAAAAATCCATGTTTCTTTGGAAACAATAACAACTTACGTTCAATTTCATTGACTGCATATCTTATCTTTTTTACACTCTTTTCAATATTTAAATGAATCCCAAAAAATCAGGAATTTCAATATAATATTCTAACTCCGTTTAT